AGTTTTCTTCCAAAGCATCACCCTGTTTCTTCCCACTTGGCATTTCCCCCACCCCATTATAGGAGAAGACATTTCTCCGGTCGGTGATCAAATGGAAATTGACATTTGGTTCCCTTCTAAGAGACTGATGCATGTGAGGCTTGTTTTTTTAATATGGCCCTTTGCTCAAACCTAGAGATTAAAATGAGCCTTAACATAAACCATAGGAAAGAGGCATAAAATGCTTCTAACCCTCACGGATGCCCAGCTGACGACACCTGTGAAACACAATTGTGTTTTAATAGTAACACTTTGAAACAGCTCAGGTAAATATAATGCTTTATGCCAAGATTTCAGATCCCACAAATGCCACCAGTACTTATGATTCCTGTGGGTAAGTTTGCTCTTGCTGTGTTCAAGTTTGAATGGAATATAAATGCACCATTAAATCTGCCCCAGAAGTACAAGAGAGAGGCTATTGCATCGTTAAGTGAAAAAGGCAGCATTTTATGTCTGATGGAGCAGTCATCTTGTAAAGAGCAAATTGGTGAGAGAGGCAGGGGGAAGAGATATATGGAAAGTGGCCTCAACAGGAAAGGCAGATGGAAGTCTGAATTCTTTTATAAATTCCTTTAAAGGAACATATTTTATTGAGCTTTTAGAAGAAAAATACAGATTCTTTCCAAGGCTTAGAGATTAGGTGCCTGTCCCCAAACTCCAACTCCAACACACACATCAGAACCACTCTGATCACCACCACTTTTGTTAGTAAGAAGGGGAAAGAGTGGAAAGAAGAATAAAAGTCATCTTTCACTATAGTAAATAAAGTGAGTTTCACTTGTCACAGTAAATGATGAATGTCTACCCATCACTTTCCCAAGGATAGAGGAACCAAAGATGGTGTATCAATTTTTATAATTTTAAGGCTGAAAGATAATAACTCTGCAGAAATGGAGCAGACTATATAAAAATCCTCTCGGAAAATGTGATTACACATAAAAATCCATAAAAATGTACAAAGTGATAGATGAACCAAAACTAAACAAACACAATTTTTTTCTATCCTTTTGGAACTGAGCAGAAATAGCATATGTAGAAAGAATGATTTTATTTTGTATTTTTAAAAGAAATATTTGGAACTTAATTGAATTAGACTTGTTGTGGGATTTGAAATTTTCAGATGGAATATCGGGTTTTATTTTCAATTGAATTCTCTACTGAAGATATGAAGAGTGAACCATCAGTGAAATATTAACAATAAAGCTGACAAATTTCAATAAACTAAAAAAGCTGAGCATAATATAAGCTAGCACACTTTCTCGCCACACTTTGCTAACCCCAAAGGGCTACATCAACTCTTCTTGATAATTCTAAGAAGAAATCATCTTTGATCTATTCTAATTAAATCCAACTTACATCTGATATTTATTTCTTGAGATTCTTAAAACAAATCAAAATTCATCCTTTTTATCTGTGGCCACCCTGCTAAATCTACTGTGTCCCTCACACCATCAATTTATTATTATTAATGAATCTGGAACATGTATCAAGACACATATCTCATTTGGCTTATTCCTTAGAAGTTACTAAATTAATTCCAAATTGTATACACTACACCTTATCAACCTATATTATTTCTTATTCATATTAAGTGATTTTATTCATTTCAGGGATTTCATGAAGCCCCTGTCTGGCAAATTTAATCAATTGTAATGTAGAATAACATATACCTAATTTTTTTTGCATTTAGAAATTGTGCCAATAGCTTGTATTTCTTGAATAATCATGGTCAATGGAAAAAATGCCTATTTCTGCTATAAGCCCCAAAAAACTTGTGTCAAAAGTCCTAAGAGCTCTGCTGGTATTTTTCAACTCATGGTTAACAAGAAATAAGGACATTGCTTTATAACATAGGCAAGGGGTGCTCTTTTCTCTGCAGTCCGAGTAAAGTGTATTGTAAACACAGTGGATAGTTTTTAATATGTAGTTTCCATGTATTATTTATGTCAGCGAGATTCAGGGAATGTACAGAAGCTAGGTTAGCATCATGCCAATCAAACCGTATTTTAAATGACCATAAGGAAAAACAGCATAGCCCCTGTATTGCTCAGCTTGGCTTCCAGGGAACTGTTCCCTCTATACCCTCAGAAGGGAGGCTGGACAAAGGAGCTGGACAATCCACAACAGAGATCTCAGGGAAGGAAGACCCAGAGAGAGGCTGCAGATCAGAAAAATGAATTCCAGAGTAAGATGGAGGTGGCAGGATTCACCAGCCTTTGGTTTACTGCTAATTCCTTTAACATATGATGACTCGAAAACCACAGTTACGAACCCACTCAGGTTGTATAAATGTTCACCCCTCAACTGTTTCAATTCCTCATAAGAAACCTGGTGAGAAAAGGCAGTATGCTGGGAGCATGGAGGCACTTGTTATAAACAGTCTGAACGGCAATTCATCTTACTAAACACCTTGGACAGCATCCAGCTTGAGAATCATAAAACACGAAGGAAAACAAGATGCTGTCCCCGGAGAAAGCCCTGTTTGCTTATCAAAGAAAAGGCAACCAATTAATAGTTTTATTACTAATACCATTACCCCAAGGGCTAAAAGGAGGTTTATTTATTTATTTTAAGTTCAACCTGCTAAATTCCACAATAACACGCGCCAAGGTGCAGCTCGTATTACAAATGAATAACTTAATTAAAACACATTGATTTTGCTCATTGACTGCTGCAAATTTTATTAAATATTAATGATAACATTTTGTATTTTTTATACCGGTCATGAAAGTTTTATGTGCTCTCTCCCCTACAGCAGCCTTAGATTTTATGACAAAATCTTAGGCAGCTCAAAGCACAAATATAAATATTGCATTGGCCAGCTTGGTACAATATATGTGTGTACATAAACCAATAAGTCAATGTGTGCACATTTACCCAAATACCCACTGAATTAGGGGAGCTGAACCGAAGCAAGCAAGGGAGAAACTTGAAAGGTTTGAGATTGTGTTTTATTTTAACCACCAAGAAAGGCCACCCGGAAACTCTGGGAACAGGCACCCTGTGAGGTGGGACTTCAATACCTTACAGTCAACTGTGTTGTCTTCCCAAATTCTGTGTTGTGATACCAAGCCAGAGACATCACTCCGGGAATAACATAATTTTGCATGTTACAAATCCTCCATGGCAAGAGGTTTGATCAAGAGAACAAAGTTCTCTTTTCTCATCCCATGTGCCCCTAAAGCCAAAAAAGTCCACCAAGCTAAGGGAGAGCCTTTAAAATTTTGTTAGAATGTTTTGTTGTTCTTTCTGTGGGTTTATTTCCCATGTTTATGATAAAGTTGGTAGAGCTTTAGGTGTTTATCAGCCGTACAGACGGGGACCAGAAGTAACCCTTATCTTCTTCTAAGCTCTTAATGGGAACCATAAATGCTTGGAGCCAGTTGACAGCTGTGTGGAGTAAATCAGATGACACATTATTTGGAGTGTTTTTTCATTATTTGGAAAATTTTACTTAAAATTCTGTAAAGCGTTCAGCAGAACATCACTGCTACTTTGAACGTCTGCAGGGACTTTCTTCTCTCAGCATCTCAGACATTGAGAAACAATTGAGTAGTTCATTTAAGTCACTTCCTCAAATCACCTCCCAGGTCAAAGGGACAGGTCAGGCCTCTGAGTTACAAAGTCTTTCCCAAAATTGAAAACAAACTTCCTTAGGAATATAATCATAGCAACCCAGACTTAAAAAACAAAGCCTAAGTATTACTAAATCCTTGACAAAAATGTTCCAGCCACAGTCTACATAGTTTGCAAGCGCCCTCGCAGCGAAAGGTGAGGGAGCGACAAAGGGTAGAAAAATGCTTTCAAAAGGAAATACTTCACTCAAAAGACATTAAGCATTTTCTGAAATGAGGAACTAAAAGGCAGACCAGAAGATCTTTAAAATACACACTTCTTTGAAATGCAAAATATATTTTTGTAAGACATCGATGGAAGTTAACATGAGGAAATCATTTAGTTCAATTCTGTAGTTACTAGTGACCCAACTGTGTTTCAATGGTGTATTTGCCTCTTATCTGCCTCCCTCTCCCATCCCAGTGGCCCCTCTGGGCTCTGGGAGGTTGAACCCTAAGACTGCACCACCCGGAGCCCTTGACAGCTGGCTTCCTACTGGGTTGGGCCAATGAGAGCAGGAGATCTAAGGATGGAAGGAGAGAGAGATGGGGGGATTTACTCTCTGTTGCTGCCTGCTTTGGGCCGTGTTATTAAGCTTCTGGCGTGTTCCTCTCTCTGGAAAGATTCTCCCCTTCTTGCTCCTGGAGCCTCCTTTTGCCTCAGATCTCTGGGCTCCTCCACATCCCCTGCTGGCTGCACATCCAGCAGGCCTTCCTTAGAAGTCCTTTGAATCATCTAAGTTAAAATTTCTTTCTTTCTGTCTGTCTTTCTTTCTTTCCCTGCTAGGATTATAATGAACAAGTACCAAGAATTTGTAGCTCCTACTAGGGGTCCTTTTCAGGTTGTGCTATGTGAAATGGCAGGTATCAGGTCACAGGTGAATTAAAAAAAAAAAGCCCTAAAGAAAGTCAAAAGATGAAGCAATCCCTGATCCACAACATTAGAACCTGTGCATTCATTTTTTCGTGAACTTACAGATTATGCACAATTCCGTGCACGACATCAGTGTTATTTCCCTTTCTGCTGCGGAATGAAGTTTCTTCCCTTAGTGATGAGTACTCAGGAAAAACAAGACAAAGCAAAGCAAAAAAACTAACCCAACTGTTCCTCACAATGAGTCCTGCGCTAGACCTGAGGGCATATGCTCTGTAAGTCTGACACATTTTGAAAGGAACTACTGTCCCCAACTCAGCTTGACTGTGAACCAGGTCTATCTAGCCACCTTTAGTCCTCCCAGGGAATAAATTAAATCTGCATCTTGACTGTGCTGCCTGGAAGAGATTGTTAAATTATTTATGGCGAGGTGGCAGGGGGTTGCTCGGCTCTGCAAGTTGGGGGTGGGGCAGAGTCTAGCTTGCTTCTTGTCGACTACAAGCCACTGCGTTCTCAAGTTCAGCAATGTCTTGAGAAAAAGAACTGGTTATGAAATCTTAACAGAAAAGAGGCAGTAAATCGCTTCTCTCTGTTTGGGGGCTGTTCTCAGGCTGGAATGGCTGCCACTTTGCTCTGGTTCTCACCTGGGATACAGGAGATTTCCTGCTGCTGACGCCTGGCTGGGGCAGGCTGGGCAGGTGATGGCTATGCACCACATGGATTTAGGGTTGAAATTTTAAAAATGAAAATAAGAAGAAACTCAAGAATTTGTAGAAGGGATTTTGCTAATTTGACTTCGGCTTCTGAGTTTTGATCTTAGTTTGGATACATGCCCGGTGTTGAAAGAGCTTTACACGGAGAATCAGAAGAACTGAGTTGTTCACACATGAGGCAGGAGGGCAGGAGGCAGGGCACAACCATTGAAGGAGTGACACAGCAATTGAGGACGAACTAGTTAGAACCAAGACGGCAGAAGGTTTGACTTCCAGTAGACCTTGAGCCTCATGGCACACCCACAGGCACCATGACAGGCCCCAGGCTGATAGTAAAAGGTCAAAAGGTGGGCGGGGCTGAATTCCTGGAAACCCCACCACCTTCCCCAGCATAGTTGGGATAATCATCCCACTCATTAGCAGATGAAATTACCCAGCGCAGAAGAACTAACAGCCCCACACCTCGTGGCGTCTCTCCCTCTCACGGTTTGAGATGGCCCGCGTTCTGCCTATGAATCTCCCTGAATAAACTTGCTTTCACTTTACTATGATTCACTCTTGAATTCTTTCCTGTGTGAGACAAGAACCTATTCTCCAGCAACACAGAGGGGTGATTCAGACGAATTCCTTAGAGCTTCTCAGTGATTTACTGGTATTTTGGAAACTTAAGCACCAAGTCACATGGAGAGCCCCGGTACGTATTTCAGGTGACCCTTCCCTGTGGACACTTACTCCTTGTGCCCTGATGCTCCAACTGCTTTAATGTGAAGAAAAAAAACCCTACTCTATAATTATAGGGAAATTTTAAATTCACATACTCTGGGACAACTAATACATTTATGCATCAAGGTAAAATTGTATCAGTGACAAATAGCTGATTTTTTAAGAGATCCATTACGTAATAAGGCATGGGAAAAGACGATGGTATGAAGGAAGGATCAGAGAGTGTAAACACCACACAGAAGGAAAGATGGAAGATGCAGAGCACTGCCTGGTTTGTCGTTTCCCTTAAAATAGGGCTTAGAAAATATTTTGTCCTACTGGCCTGGACAGAGAGAAATTCTATCCTAAAATGCAAGACCATCTTTATTTCAATGTGGAAGGGATATTATTTTAGCTAACTTCATTGGAACTATAACAGAAATCAAATATCTTATTTTACATGAACTTTCTTCCCAGACGGTAAAAAGTTTTCTACATCTTACTTAATCTCTCCATATCCAAGTTAAGAGATTACTTTATTAACTCGATTTTACTATTAAAGAAAATCATGGAAAATTGAATTTTTTTTGCTTTCCTAGGTAGACAGAAAGATAGATGGCTAGACAGATAGTGAGTTATAGATACAGAGATACAGATTGAGATAGAGATATATGTAGTAGCTTTATTTATCCTGATATTAGTATATGTTATGATAACACTCTGACTTTTATATGTGTTTTATATGTGTGGTAAACATTAATTAATTCTCTAGGCTAAAAAAGAAATATGCTAATTTGGGGGCAATACCTACAAGCAGAGGTAGCATCCCAAATACATATTACGAATTTAGCACCAAATATGCATATTATGCATTTGCTAGCAGTGAGCCACAAATTCTTAACCATTCTTCTAAATGTTTTATTGAAGTATAATATACACAGAGGAAAGTACATATATCATAAGTGATGAATTCATTGACCTCTAATCTTATTTTTTATTAACAACATAGAGATACGAGCTTGCTTATAGGTTAAGGAAGGAGAGGAGCCAGGAGGAAGGAAGCAGAGGCAAACTCGGAGCGCTGTAGTGCTGTGGCACATTGTAGGTCCCAAAGATGGCAGCAGTAATATCACCCATCCCTTAAGCTCTTCTGCTATGTGATCTTTCTACTCCTCCATCAAGAGGTAGAGATAATTTCTTACTTCCATCTGGGTGGGCTCTGTGACTGCTCTGACCACCAGAACATAGCAGACAGGATGCTGTGTCATTCCAGGGCACAACCTTTAATTAGTTTGGTAGCTTCAACTTTGTGCCCCTTGAAATATCTGCTCTCGGGATGTTCTCTCCCAGAACCCAGAGTTGCACTGTAAAAAGCCCAAGCCTCATAAGGGGGCCACATGTAGGTGCTTGAGTCACACCCCAGCTGAGTGCTCAGCCCACAGCCAGCATCAACTCCTGGCCACATGGTGCACCATTTCGGATATCCCACTTGGTCAAGACCGCAGATGACTGTAGGTCCAGTCAACACCTGACTTCAATTATATGAGAGCGAGCAGTGAGGTAAGCCCGGCTGAGCCCAGTCAACCCACAGACCCACAAGAGATAACAATAAACGGTTTCAAAGCCATTAATTTTGTGGGAAGCAGGCTAACTTGGAACAGATGACTGGAACAGGTAATCAAAACACAGATACAGGAATTTGGCTTTGACAGGAAGAAGGCAGAAAAGAGACAAAAAAATTTATCAAGATTATAGATACATTTACAGATTGAATGGGTGAGAAATGAGAAGTGGGAGTTTGGAAGCAATACCATTCAGTAAGAAAGAGAAAAATACGGGGTAGCAGGTGTAAGAAAGGGACAGATAGTTGCAATATCAGATATGTGTAACGAGATGGAATCCAGGAAAAGTTCACTGACACGTCTGAAGGCCATGCTGATGTTAAGCTGTGAATCTGAAGAGTACTACTTGCCAGGGGCTGGGATCTTCTCCAGCTACCCAGTTAAGGGAAGAAAAATCCTACAACTGGATTGATCTTGGCCTGCAATTTTAAAGAGCAGGTAAGGAAGGAAGAGAGAGCCAGATAGCTGTGGGTCCTGGTGGGTATTATCTGAAGCAATGGACCATGGATTTTAGCCTGTGCAGGGAAAAGAGATGAAACTGGGAAAGACCTGCTAACAGGAGTGAAAGAAAAGAAGATGCAGAAATTTGAGGTCAAAAAAGATTATTATGTAAGAGAAGGGACTGAGAAAAGCTGAAAGGAGAAGTTTTGATCCCCAAATAGAGTAGTGTTGAATTCTTTGGTGGGTTTGTATTTTTTTTATAACTTCACTAGTAATTACAGGTTTTACCTAAGAAATATTTAAAGACTAATACGTTTAAAATCCAAGCCAGTTAACATCTCCACTTGTCAGTAACTCGTAAGCATCCATGGATGGGAAGATGACTGACAACAGAGGGTTAGACTGAGGTGTTATTTGCCCAGACCCGCATGTGGGAAGTCTGCCTGAACCCACGTGACAGCTGACTGTGGGAATCTCTCTAGATGTCTGCCCAGTGCTGTCACGTCAGTAGCTTGAAATTGGCCATGGTGGAATATTTACCCTATAGAAATCTGCAGACACTACAAATCAGGGCTTTTGTTTCCCGGAGAGTGGGTGTTAAACATTTACCAGCATGCCACTACCCAGCCTGTCCATATACCCTGTTTCTATGAGAAAGAGACTTTCATTTTGAACATTTCTTATAAATGTCTGTCTACCAACTTATGCCTTATTCTGCACAGGACATGAGTGGAAGATTATTTTACCCTACTTTTATTATCTGCATGAAGCACAACTGTTGGATTCAAGATAAGTGATTTATTAGATGTGAAGACACATTTCTCCTTCTTTCTGATGCCAGAACATTCCAAGACTGAAGGAAAAAACGGCAACAAAACAAGCTGAAGTAAGCAAAGTTCAGTCATGTGGAGATGTCGGTCCTATAACAGCTATGGAATTGGAAAAAGGATTAACTGTGAAAAGATTATGCTAAGAGGGGGAAAACTGGCGTACTTTAATCTCCATTCTCAGTGAGCTTGTGTTGGAGAGGAACCGCAGTCAGGATGAGCATTCCCCCTGGTCCCTGCAAATATGCCCACCCACCCATGCCAGTTGCAAGTCCCAGGACCAGAAACCTACCCCCAAATATCCATGTTCCTTCTGCCTTTAGTTTGCAAACACTATCATAGTGGCACTGAAAGGAATGCCAAATAAACTGATAGCTCAAAAAAGTTATGAGCTATTGCAATCTACCCAATGCTGCAGCTGATACATTACAATCTAGGGCCAAAATAGGTGTATCTTCCTACTTCATCTTTTTGGAATTTTTTTCAGTCCAGTTTTCCAATACTGACTGCATTTTTCCTTCTCCCCTATTTTGCTTCAGGATAATCACAAAAATTAATACATTTGCACAGTAAGAACGAAAAGGTTACTGGGAATATGAATTAAAACAATCCTCCGAGGATTTCAGCCTGGTAAATTTGAAGTAAGAAACAAATATTTTATCTGCTGGGCAAAGCAAACCTGGGAATTTTGAGCTGCTACTTAGTCTGCTAAACTATACGAATATTTTTTTTCCATTCATGCAATAAAAACTTATTGAGAAAGACTTAGATGTGAATAATAAAGCTCTTTGTGACTCTCAGAATTGCAATATAGACTTGAAAGGTTTCATTAAAATTAGAAGCACTTTAGCTTGCTCTGTTTCTCTTAAATGGGAGCGCATTAATGTATTTTATTTGGGGGAGAATTAGAAGAGATGAATATGTAATAACTAGTGTTAAAATGCAGGGTGATATTTTTGAGGCAGGAGAAAAGACACTAACAAAACCTCCACTCTACCTGACACTCTTTATCCAGGTGGCTTCAATGATAATCCCATTAGGCATTTGCAGGTGTTACGTTAGTCACTAGACGGCTTCCCTCCAGATTTTCCCCTTGTATACGGTAGAAAACAGACCATATTTCCTACTGAGACCAGATGAAAAGTGAGACATGTGGTGAATTCTGCTTAATGGTTACTCTGTTTGGTGACTGAAAATTATCTAACAGGGAAAAATAATTTTCCTCATTTTTCCTTCCAAGAGCACTTATTAAAATGGATTTTTTAAATGAATATGCAATGCTACAGCAAATTAAGCTTGCTATATCAAAACAACAACACAGTATGAGATTTTTGAAATACCCAAGTGTTTTTTTAGTTTTATATAAGAGGAAACTAGTATATTGTGGATATATATTTCTTCATTACTCCTAGATGACAGAATCTGGAGACAAGAAGGAGCTTTAAAATTTCAACCAGCTTTCCCCCAGGGAAAAAGGACATGTGACGTGCTCTGAATGTGGAGGTTAAAGCTGGCCTTTTATGAACTGAAACTTTGTTTCCTCCCAATATTCAAATGTTGACATTCTAATCCCCAAAGTCATGGTGTTTTGAGGTGGAGAATTTGGAGGGTGATCAGGGTGAGAGGTGGGGCCCTCATGGTGGGATTAGTGCCCTTATACGAAGACTCAGCAGAGAGCTGCTCACTCTTTCTCTCCACCATGGGAGGGCACAGTGAGAAGACGGCTGTCTGCAAACCGGGAGGAGAGCCCTCACCAGGAACTGAGTCAGCTGCTACCTTGATCCTGGACTTCGCAGCCTCCAGGACTGTGAGAAAATAAATTTCTGCTGTTTAAGTCCCTGGGTCTAGGGTAGTTTGTTATGACAGCCTGAGCTGATTCATATATGGTCTCTGCCCTCAAAGAATTCAGTCTAGAGGAGAAAAGCAGCACACAAATAATTTTAATAAGTCCTGTGGCTCAGGTATGCAGGAACTGCTAATTCACAACACTCAGAAATGAGTTGGTTGTTCTCTGAGATCTAACAGGTGATGAGGTGAAGAAACTGCCCTGATGTTATGGTGACTTGCCCAGGGTCAAAAAGTGGTTGGTGGCAGAGCCAGAATACTGAGATTATATGTGTGTGTATGTGTGTATGAATTTACATGACTAAATGCATTTTTTACCCATTCACTCAGTGAATTTTTCCTGGGCCCTTACTGTATACTAACTACAATAATAACGTGTTTACATGAATAGTTAGTTTTATCCTCACAACCATCATGGTCCCATTTGACAGATGAGAAAACCAAGATTTAGAGAGATTTACTAACTTGCCCAAGGTCAAAGAGCTACTAAAATCAGAGCTGTGCTTTGGACCAGGACACTTGAAACAGACAGAAGGTTGGAAGGTAAGAAACGTAAAATGACTTGGAAGAAATTAAACTGTATACACATGCTGATCAGTAGATCCCTGACACCTTCTCACATGCTATTAACATACATGAAAATAACACAGATCATATAATTTTCTCATCAGTAAAACTGGGGTCATACCTTCCTCAGGGGGTTAATATGAGAGTTAACGGGATGCTAATATGAGAATTAGTGGGATGCTCTCTTATCCCACGTGGTTTCACTGGGAGGGGGATGGGATTCCTCCTTGCTTACTCCATGCTGTTTCCAGGCCATCTGATGCTCAGAGCATCTGGCTACATCAGCCTTTCACCATAGCTGGTGCCAACAGTCCTCAGTGCCCTGTTGCCACCATTTTAAGGAACTCTAAAGTCTATGCAGATGACACACCCTGCACTCAGGCACTCAGGTCTGTTCTGACTACCTCCTCTGCTGCCCACCCACTCTGCCATCACATGCTAGACTTTGTCATCGCGTCTGCAACCATGAACCCATGTACCTCACTCCCCAATCACAACCCCCTCTCCTTCCAGCTTGCTGGCTTCAAAAGCCCCATTGAAACTGCCCTTAAGTGGATGAAGAACTACTTCCCAGCACATGGGAAGCATGCTTTCCCAGCCTCTTGTCTTACTGCTCTGTTTGCCCTGTTTTGATTCCATGGTCCCCCACTGGTGTCATTCTCTTAGTCTTTCCTTCCTTCTTTCTCTTCTACGTGGTGCAAAGGGAACATTTCTACTCACAGAAGCCCCTGACTAGGAGTCATCAAATGGGATGTTGTGGTTTTATCACCACTGGTTCTAACAGCAGAAGCTGATAACAAGCTTTGAGTGGCCTGGAACACCAGACTCTACTAGACCTACTTGAAATCTCTTTCCTCTCTAATAAAGCAATGAAACTCTAAAAAATTAACCCTGTACAGATCTATAGACAAATCCCATTCTATCCAGAGTGCTAGTTTTGAATCCTTTAATAGCATAATAACCACAAATCATCCCACTACCAATACTTAATGAATTTTTTTCTAACTATTCAGAATATTTCTCCACTGATACATGTTTTCTTGAAGGGTAATAAAATTGGCTTTGTATCTTCGGAAAGCCTTGGTGTTACTTGTTTTGTTCTTTGACAAGAAAATCCCAACTCTAGTCTCTTTCTGTCTTTAGATCTTGATCTAAATAGCTAAAAAAACACTGAAGAAAAATGACACTAACTTACATATTATTATTGTTATAACATGTCACGGTGGTTATCAATTGAGTGGTTTCAGCAGCTGGCTCTACTGAAAGTATCTCAAACCCCAGCTGCTCAACTACCAAGTCAATGGCCTTTCCTTTGTCTTCCCCAATTTAAGCACAGAAAAACTCGACCCTGTTGCCCAGTCACTACTATTTCTTAGAATTTTACATTTCTTTGGCTGCCATGATTCTTTCCTTTTTTCAGATCTTTCCTTATATTATTCTTTTTTTTTTTTTTTGCTACTCACACCTTAAACCAGAGCTCCTCCTCAAGGTTCCATTCTTAAAAATTTTTCTCTCCTAATGATATTCTCTATCCATGGGCTTCTACTTTTATGAAAGTAATTCTCACAACTTCCAAATCTAGGCCTCCATACAAGAACTCTCTTCTGCTTTCTAGACCTAAATGTTCAATGGTCTGCTGGACAAACTTGTTGTGGCGTTCTCTGAAGGAAGAGAGGAAAGAAGGGTACCAGGAGGACTGGCGCAGGGAAGGAGCTGAGAAGGTGGGGGAACAGGTCGAGGAGGCATGTGGCGGGAGTGGTGGGAGTACACGTGGAGTACCTCGGAGGTCATCATAAGGCCTTTGCTTTTCACTTGGAAAATCCTGAGACTGATTTAGGCTCAAAAAGTATAGTTTTGCTACTAAGGATAAAAGCATGAAGAATACTCATGAGGTGGCAGCAATAATACAGGCAAAAGGTAAAGGGGGATTTTTTATCCAAAATTCCTCCAGGATTTTGTTTTCAAGCTTTTTCTTATAACATGTAAAAATTTTGCATCTACAATAAAAGGAAAGTATTATGTTGTCTCTCTTAATTACTATGAATTTCAACTTAATTTAACTTTGTTCTAATTCTCAGTCCTAAATTGGAATGTTCCATTTTAACTCTCAGCAGTCAAACTGTCCTGAATCTGGTTCAACTCTTGGACATTAGGCCAACTTAGTGGCCAAAGTCCTTATGGTTTCTTTCAGCTTGTAGGCAATAGACATTTTTAGTTTTGGGAATCAGGCTTTGCCTCCCTCATTTATTGCTGACTATTGAAGTGCTTATAATTCTGTATAGATTTCTTTTTAGTTTTCTTTTCTGTCTCTTTTTAATTCCATGTAGAAAATAAGGTTATATTAGTCAAACTTTCGTTGAGAATATACAAATCTTTTCTTGATGTTCACATTTTCACCAGAAGACTGAAACAATCCCTCTCTCAATATCTTCCTGACTCAAAGTTTACCTGAACAATGTTTAATACAATAATATTTAATTTAACAGTAACTCTATCAACAGCTTAGCAATCTGCAGTCTTAACAAATTAACTTTAGAATTTGTTTTCTGAAAAAGGTTGCTTCCTTTACCCAGACTACAATACTTTTAACAGAATTGAAATAAGAATTCTGAACATAAGTTGTTTTCACATGATCATGAGTATTTTTAATTACAATCAAGATGTAATGAAGTTTACCAATATTATATAGTCTCAACGGGAAATATCTTTCTTCTTTTAAAACCAGTAAAGCAGGCAGTCTCAACCTTACATGGTATGTTGATTTTAAAGCATGTCTGTGAACTATTGAACACTCCTCCCATTGAAGGTAGGGTCCATATGCCCTCCTCTTGAATTTCTGCTGACCTTAATGATTGTCTTGTAATCAAAAGACTACAATGAAAGTGATGCCAAGTGGCTTCCAAGGCTGTGTCCCAAAAGGCTGATAAGCTTCTGTCTAGTACTCTTAAGATGTTTGTCCTAGGGTAAACCAGCCAGGTGCCACATAAGAAGTTTGAAACTGTCATGGTAGACAGTCCATATACAGACATTCTGATTGACAGCCCAGCTGAGTTCCAGTTAACTACCTGCATCCCCTGCAAGGCAAATGAGTGAGCCAAACTGGAAATACATCCCAGTCGAGCCTTCAGATCATGCTATGGCTCAGCCAACATGAAAGACCCTACATGAGAACTGCACTGCCAAGTCCCTCTTGAATTCCCCGAGAAACCGTGAGAAAAACAAAATGATTCTTTTAAGCTGCTAAGCGTGGTGATAATTTGCTCACAGCTAGTAACCAGAACACATGGATATTAGAGTCATTACATGCTTAAATGTCCCCTCTTCACTGCCGTCTGTTCTAACTTACAGCCTTGCAAACTATACATTAATATTTCTAAAGAAGTATACTTTCAGAGATGGAAGTCATATATTAACCCAAAGACTGAGTTTTATTTTTATTAAACTGTCCCAAGAACCCTGACTGTAAGCATTTTGGAAAGCAGGACACGTGAGAATAAAAAAGAAAATAGGTTCACGCTACCAATTCCTTTTATTAGACCTATCGTGTATCAAAGGTTATTTCTAATTATATAATGGTTAGGGAGTCAAGAGCCTTTGTCTACCTTTGAGCATATTAATTATCTTCCATCTTAGTTTCACAAGCTCAAGGATGTAAGTAATTTTTCTCTGCCTTGAGAATGTTTTCTAGAAGAATCAGAAATTTCAAGAGATAAACTTGGAACACTTTTCACTTTAAAATGTTTTAGAAAATAATTTTGAAAGTAGGAAGTTCCAATTTTTGCAAGGTATTAGGATTTTAGGTAAGGAAGGGGATTGGGAGAGCAGAGTTGTTGACTGGTGGTTAAAGTGGCTGGAGGCTAACTCTTTTGATGGATTTACCTACAGAACCTTTCAAAGCTGAGAAACATTGTAGGGATCACTTACTTTTACAAGACCATGCAAATATACTTTCTTTTATAAAATGTACCAAGTCTCATCATATAAAATTTATCCACTGAATTAAAAGTATATTTTGCCAAAGGAATGGTTGCCAAAGAAACCAAAGGAATAAAATTTACTTTTCTCTCCTATGCTTTTGATAACTTTTCATTCCTTTTTTATGAGTCATACAATTGCCATCAGGAGTCTCTGGTCAGAGAGAGAAGTTCTTTGAACTCTTAGGACAGACATTCTCAAAGTGTAGCCTGGTGATGCCCGTGGGTCCCAGAGACCCTGTCAGGAGGGCTGTGAAGGCAAACTATTTTCATAATAATGTTGAGATTTTATCTGCTGCTCTACATCTAATTCTCTCATGAGTGCACTGTGGCATTTTTTTAGAGGCTGCATGGGGTATGATACTGCAACAAACTGAA